TTTTTTTTTTTTTTTTTTTTTTTTCTATATGTTCCAATCGTACGTCTAACTTACTTTCTAAACTTAAGCATGTTCATCATGCCTCGTAACCACTCACTTGTGTGTGATTTATAAGATAAGTGTTTATTTTAACTCTAATTGTCATGATTATATATCAAAAATCAACATTAATTAATATGAAGTAAAGGAACCAGAAAATTGATAAGATAAAAGAAAATGGAAGAATATAAAGATAAGAAATATAGTAACAAATGATGAAGAAGAAAAAACTAACAAAATAGACAAGAATAAAAGATATTTAAAAGCAAAAATAACAACATAGTACTTTTTAATGTATAACTTTTTAAAGCTAATTATGGTCATATATTTAAAGTGTAAATTTACATTGTCAATCAATTAAATATCACCATTAAAATGACTATTTATTTATTTATTATAAGAGTCAACAATTTTTATATAAATGTTGACTTATGATTAGATGATAATGTCAAATTATTTTATATTATATATTACTTATTTTCTTTTACTTTTAACCCATTATCATTTGTTAGAAAATTACTAAAAGGCACAAAATCATTATTAATAAGTATTGGAGCCATAGAAATTAATAATTTTTAATAAATTTAAGTTAACAATGGAAAGTATGTTAGATTGGAGTGTTCACATGTCGATTTAGATTGGGTTTCATCTAACATGTTATTTAACCCAATAAAAATAGTTTGAGTTGGATTTAATTGGATTTGCATAAATTTTCTATCTAATTTGAACGCGTGTTAACATATCTTGGTTTGAGTGTATCATTGGATCCGAATAATTGAAATTTATTTGAACAAAACATTGACACTCAAACAAATACAAAAAAAAAAACTCAAACACTCCTAATTATAGATGTATAAAAAGATGAAAACTAATGAATCAATATTCTTTTAATCAATGAATAGATAGCTTGAGCAATGTCGTGATGATACATTTTGGTGGTGAGTGGATTAGGTTAAAGGAGGAGAAGTAAATAATATATATATATATATATAAGAGTCAATGAGATAATAAGATTGATTACTTAAATAGTAATTGCCCAAATGACACAAATTTAACTTTTTTCAATATATGGAATTAGGTTAATTTTTAACACTAAAATCAGATACCTAGCTCAACTAAGTCAGAAAAACAAATTTGATTGGATTGGATTACTATTTTTTTTATTTATCAATGCGTATCAATTCTTTGTATCTTTCTTTCTCTCTTTTATTAAATTATATCACCTGATCTCTTTTTTATATAATTGTTAAATAGGTTGTGGGGTGTTCAAAAATCCTTTTTGTTATCTAGTTTTATATTACACCTGTGATTAATACAGGTAACAATGGAGACGACTCGAGAACACCGAAGGTGATGAACGGTTGGCTCACAATCTACACATCAGACGACCCAAAATCTGCCTTCACAAAAACCAGTGCTCGAACCCAGCTTCTTACATCGGTCAAAGCTTTGCTACAACGTTACAAATCGGAGAGTCCTAGCGTAGTGTTGGTGGGTCACAGTCTTGGGGCAAGCTTATCCATCGTGAGTGCCTTTGACTTAGTAGAAAACGGGGTAACGGAGGTTCCGGTGACAGGCATCGTGTTTGGGTGCCCCCAGGTGGGAAACAAGGCTTTCAACGACAGGTTGAAAGAGTTTGGGAACCTAAATGTCCTGCACGTGAAGAACGTGATCGATTTGATTCCGCATTATCCAGGGACGCTGTTGGGGTACGAGTACACGGGCGTGGAGTTGGTGATTGATACGCGAAAGTCGCCGAGTTTGAAGGATTCGAAGAACCCGAGTGATTGGCATAACTTGCAGGCCATGCTGCACGTGGTGGCGGGGTGGAATGGGGCGAGTGGGGAGTTTGAGATGAAGGTGAAGAGGAGCCTGGCTTTGGTGAATAAGTCGTGTGAGTTTCTGAAGGAGGAGTATCGTATACCAGGCTCATGGTGGGTGGAGAAAAACAAGGGAATGGTGCGTAGGGAAGATGGGGACTGGGTTTTGGATGCACCTCAACAAGAGGACTTGCCTGTGCCGGAACAGCTTTGATTCCATAATGAAAAATGAAAGCCATGCATTATTGTTCCAATTTATTATCTTTTCATTTTTTATTCTTGTAATTTTTTTTTATTATTTTGTTTTTAACCTTTTATAATATTTTAAAAATAGTTTTTATTTATCAACTCTCATTAAAAAAAAAATACGTGACAAATGAAATTCATAATATTTTTATTATATTTTACTTCATCATTACATAGTGTACCATCCATCTCGGTATTGAGATCCACCTCGGCCCAAGGCCACTACCCATATGATATCAGTGTCGAAGCCCACCTCGGCACAAGGTCACCAAGCCACATCATCTAAGAAGATAAAATCATACACCAATTAACAAGATGAAAAGATAAGTATGTACGTAATCTTATCTTAATCAACCAAGATATCCACCAGAGAAAAAAATCTCACCAAGATACGTGCATTATATATGAGAGACATCTATACTATCAAGGACTTACTTAAGTATCAGAGTCTCTTTTGCAACCCGTCTTGGAGTGACCAACTTACAAAGTAGAAGAGGCTCACCAATCTCATTAGAGAGACTGTCTTGAGACTAATCTCAAGTAAGAACACGTAGTTAAAATGATTATAATTTTTTCTAGAAGAAATTTCAAAATGCATTTCATCTCACCTAAATCATCATCCTTAACTTCAAGATCACATTTTTTCTCTTCAATCCAAATCTGACACTTCAAACTTTAACCCTCTTAATCCAAACCCCAACAAGGTGTAACTTCTTACAATCCACGATTTCAACAACATTGAGTTCACTCTCAACAACCATAATCTTTGCGTGGTCACCATCAATCATCACCTTACCATAGAAAAGTTCGATCTCATGCTTAGTTACTTCCCCGTCTTATAAGAACTCATGCGTAATAAGAGCGTCTACCACTTTGTTAGCTACTATCAATGCCACATCTTCCAAGGTCAAATAAGTATTGTGTTGATTGGCTCAAAAACATCAAGGTCTTCACCATCTACTGCAACCATTGCAATAGTGACAAGCGAGACACCCTATTTAGAGAAGGGAGACGATATAACTCCATTATCGATGATAGTCAAGACGCAACAACATTCCATGATCTAAAAATAATGCACGTGAAAAGTATGATAAAATGACGTACAATACATTTCCAAATTGTCTTAAAAAATTAAAATTAATTTACTTTCATGCCAATAATTAATAAAATAGAAAATAATATGAATTGTGTTCACCACATTTTTTTTTTAACAAAAATTGATGATAGAAACTATATATTTTTAAAACGTTTTAAAAAATATAAAACAACAACAAAAGTTTACAAAGATTAAATGTAAAAAAATTAATAAATTACAAGAAAAAATTATATTTAAGCCCCCTTCTTTTTTTTTTCTCTCTCTCTATATATATATATATATATATATATATATATTATTTATCAGTAAAAGTGATAACTCTTTCATCAGAAATCTATGTTACTGCTACACCTTTGACTTACCCATATCTTTATCGCCCACAATTTAAAATTATATATCCACTAGTGATAGTGAAATAATCATTATGTCTTCACTAAGGGAAAAAGAAAGCATCTATGTCATAATCTGGATATAGAAAAATTCGTAAGAATGTACTAGAATTTATTCACCACGACTTTTTTTTCTTTCACAAACTGAGTAATGAATTAAAAAAAAAAAGTAATTAATACAATCTTGTTGACGCTAATGAAGTAAACAATAAATAAAAAAATTAAAATCAGGGGTGAGAAAGAAAGCTAAATAATGTTTTAAGTTTTAACAAGTAAATACATTTCCTTGGTTTTAGGCTAGTGGAAAATTTTAAAATATAAATTAGGTATTAAAAGGGGCAAATCCTACATAACTTAATTAACCAAGAATCAAATCACTATTAAAAGAGATATCTTTATTTATACTATCAGATTGTACCTCGAACATGATTATTTGGAAATGTTTTGTGTTTTTTTTTAATAATATTAAATTTAATTTTTAACAATTTAGGCTGGCTAATTTGATATGAGATTTTGGAAAAAGAAGAATTAATGTAATGGAAAGTTTAGAGAATAGTTACAAAATAAAGTTGGAATTAATCACCTATATACTGTTAATGTTAAATTTTTTTACACTGGCAGTCAATCAGAGTCGTTAATAGTGTCTTTTTATCTGCTTATTTAATTAAATTAAAATATAAAAAAAAGTACTATTAACGACTCTGATTAACTACCGGTGTAAAAAAACTTTACATTGACAGTGTATAGATGATTAACTGATCATAAAGTTATGAGTACTTCAAAATGCGTAGTTAAAAAGTAAAATAATGTAATAACAATTGAATACCAAAAAAAACTAATTTTACTATAATTATAAATAACAATATTTTCTCTCAAAAAAATAAATAAAAGTATTTTTTTTCATAATTGATAACTTTTTTAAGGCATTGTTTTTTTTTAAAAAAAAATACCACTATATCCTCTTATAAATCTTCTTAATGTTTTATAAAGGAAATAATAAATGAAAAAAATCAACATATTTAATATGTTTAAAGCTATATATATATATATATATA